TGCAATTGAGGAAAGAGCTCGCTCATCTCTGAATACAACAAGGACGGGTGGGGATTTACAGCCAACCAGCAGGATAAGGGGGTTGGCGGATGGAAAGGTAGTAAGAAGGGACATCAAGCATAGGAGGATTCTTGCTAAACTCACCTAATAGGATTCTTGCTAAAGGAAGGCCAAGGACTTAGATATCAAAAGTGGGCAATGAGCCCAGCCGGGAGTGGCTCAGCGGTTGAGCATTGACCTGGGATCCAGGAGATCTCGGTTGGATTTGGTCAGGGCACATGCCCGGGGTGCGGGCTCCATCCCCAGTCGGGGTCGTGCAAGAGGCAGCTGATCAATGACTCTCTCATCATTGATGTTTCTATCTCTCTCCCCCGTCTCTTCCTCTCTCTGAAATCAATGGAGATTTTTTTTTTTTTAAAAAAAGAGTGGACTATGAAAAACTTGATCAGATATCAAGGGTTGATCAGGTGTCAAAAATGGGGAATTCTCTTCTCCATAACTGACTTAGCAAGATTCTTGCTAAGAATGGACCACACAGGCCTGGCAAGGACAGGCCAGACTCAGAAGGCCAAGGTTAAGGCCTAGTCAAGAAAAGGGCTCAGAGAAGCCTAACTAAAGTTTGGTCAACGAGAGTCTTTGTCATAACTCCAGTTTGATGTCTCTTTTATTTTTTCTTTCTCCCTCTTATTATTTGATTAAAAGATAACAATTTAAAAAATTAAGTAACTTTCAACAGGTCTTTAATGCAGTGTAGGTTTTTCTTTAATTACTTTTGCTTCAAAAAGTATGATGTGCACCTATTCACTGAAAAAGAAATTTAAGAAACAAATTTTACAACATATTCTCTTCATTTCTGCATTTTTAAAAATGAGATTTAGTGAGTAGCCTTCATTAATTATTTAAATGAGATATTTGACTAACAAGCACATTGCTAACAGACCAATTTCAATAAAATAAAATAGAATGGTGAATACATGCATTTTCTGCTATGTTTATAAAATCTGAACCAGCATAACCTGATCATTAATAGAACCTGCCGTTCCACGTAATATGCACTTAAGATAGTTTGAAAGCAAGTTTCTGCTCAGATAACTTAAAATAGGACAATGCAGTGACCATTTTAATCAGAGTAAAATTAGAATAGTTAAAATGCATGTATAATATGTTTTAGACTGCAAACCTATGCAATCCCAACCTAAGACCCTGAGATAATCCTAAAGTGTGTTGGTTACATAGTTATTTTGGTTCTCCAAATGCATTTACTCCTAAAAAGCAATATCACAATGATGATGGAGTTATTAGTTTAGTCCCTAGAGACCGGTTAGCCCATAAGGTGATTGAACTTTATAATATTAATAATATTGTGAACCAGTGATTGGAAGGAGTCAGGAGCAGGGGCCTGGGGCTTTGGCATCAGCAGTTTGGCATCAGCAGTTGTAATGAGGAGGGGTGACATCAGTGGAGGGTTCTGGTAGAAATGACTTTCTTATGAAGAGGCACGGAATGCATCTCAGACTGGGTACAGTGATTAGTCTGCAATGGATGGTAAATGAGTATGCCTTAAAAATGCTCCAACTTGACATGTACTTTTTGAAAGACTTATCACAGTAAATATAGCTCTTTAGGCAAACATGAAGTTTATTAAAGTGGTTTGGTTACCATGGCAACATATCCAGAATTTAGAGCTCCTTATTTTGAGAGGGCTTCATTTCCACTTTCTGAGGCACTGAAATCCAAGGCTAAAGTTCTTAACAGCCTCCAGCCTCATTGTATGATGAATATCTATTGTTTAGAAAATTTAGACACAAAATGTAGCTGTCAAAATCAGTCTTGTGACTTTATGGTCATATGCACAAATTTTCAATAGATATTTTTCAATTTTGAAATGCCCCTGCTTTAAAATGTTTTTATTATTACCAAAGCCACATATGGTCATAGTTTAATAAGGAAAAATAGCCATTTCGAAAACTAACTGTCCCCTAAACTTGCTCCCCAAAGGCAACCACTTTCTATTCTTATAGCTGATTTTTTAGTATTTACCTCAAATTCCTCAGCTACACGTTTATCTTGCTTCTTGGTTTGTATTACTGTTTGCTTTGTGATTGTAGCAGTTAACAATTGGCTTTCCAATGTGGAACATAGAATTTTAGCTTTTTCACTCCTCTGCCCCACCCTCACACCCTAATCTCTCCCGTATTCCCATTCTCCCAATGAAGTGATAGGTAGGTAGGTAGGTGGGTAGGCACATGAATGGATGGGCGGATACAGTTAGACTTTTACTAGTTTTTTGGCTTGATCAGTATTCACCATGTTTATTAGAACCATGTTTAAAATATTTACAGGTGAACCGTGCAGTATACTATGGATATATTTTCTTTCTTCTACAACTCATTATCAGTAATTTATCTTCAGACTTTTCCCTAGTGGTTTAATTTATTCTCAGCATCTTTAAATATTAACATTGTATTAATTTTATCTATATAAAGAAATTTCCCCTGTAGCTTTTGATCAGCTCAGTCAGGATTCTTGCTCACCCAGCTCTCATCTGGGGATTTTTCTTTCTTTATTCCTTCTTTATTTATACCTCTTTATTTGATTATTTATTTGTTTATTCCCGTGTTTTGCTGGACCACATTCTTCAGTATCCTCCTAAGAAAGTATACATTAGAAGTAAACTATTGGAATCCCTGCATATTTGAAAATGCTTTTATTCTATTTTTATATCTGATTATTAATTTGGCTGGATATAAATTCTAAGTTGGAAATCATTTTCTCTCAGAATTTTTAGTATTGATATTGAGATATCCAATGCAGTTCAAAATTTTTATTTTATTTTGATTTTGTGAAATCTTTTCCTCCCCTTTCGGGAAGCTCACAGGCGTGTTTCTTTATCTCCAGTATTGTGAAATTTCATGATGGACCTTGTTCTGGATCCATTTTCATCCAATGTGAAGAATCTTCTTGGGCCTTTTCCATATTCCATTTTGGAAACTTATGTCCTTAAGTTCTGTAAAACATTCTTTATTTCTTTGATTATTTCCTTTCCTCTGTGTTCTCTGCATTTTTTTCTAGAACTTTTTATTCATATGTTGTCATCATGGCCTGGTGCTCTAATTTCCTTGTATTTTATACATTTTTAATGATTTTTCGTCTACTTTCTGGACAATTTTCTCATCTTAATAACCAGTGAATTTTTTATTTCTGTTATTATATTTTTACCAAGAGTATTTCCTTTCCTCCCCAACTATTCTTTTTTTGTAGCATACTATTCCTGTTTTATAAATGTTATTCCTTCTGGTTTTCTTCTCTGTATAGTTGATCTGTTCATATAGGTTGCTTTCTACAAATGCCTGGTGATCCTTGGTTGTTTGCTTTTATTTACAAGTAAGACACTGAGTGCTAACTGGAAACTGTTTGTGGATATGGCTCGAGGACTGTGGGCTTCAATAAAGGGTGATCTGACTGGGATGTCTTGCTGAGGAACCCCTAATATCAATATCTTTACTCTTTTCTTGGGTGGTCAGATCGTCAGAAAAGAATAGTTTTATGTGATTCTGTTCTTCTGCCTAGAGATTGTAAGACTGTTTTTCTGTTTTGGACTTGGGGGTGGGGCGGTGGTAAGAAGGTTGAGAGAGAAGAGCAGATCTTAGTATTTATGATGTAACTTCCATTTAATCCCCATGATTTTTATAGGATGGCCTACCATCGACGTGGGATTCTCCATCCAGATACCCTCTGTTTTACCGTCTCTAGAAAATAAACATCTAGTGTTCTGCCAGGATGAGTTGGGAAGTCACTTATTGTTTGGAATGGGTAGAGGCAGGATATGGATGAGTGTTGCACATAATCAACTACTTAAATATTCTTTCACCAGTCTCCCCGTGTTAGCCACTCCCCATGCTCCTTCCGGAGGTGCCATTTCCTGAACTTTTTAAGATTGCTGCGTTGTAAGCAGTGCTTCTCCGTTTTAGCACTGATAGCTTAGGAACTGTTAGGTTGGCTGATCAGTTACCAGGCATCTGTCTACTTTTTAGCTTCTAAAGTTTTATTGCTATCGATCCCCCTCCAATTCCCTTTCTCCCTAGACTCATTCTCATTTAAATATAGCACTAAGAGGGAGTGGAGGTTAAATGTGTTTGCCTACTATCTTTTCCCAAAATTTCAAAGTTGCTAGTTTTAACAGTTAAGGGACTATATTCAAGCTTTGGATTTATTTCATGCTCTCCACTATAAATTTAAGTCTTGTTTCATCTCATATTGATGTCTTACTTTTAATAGGTAACTTGGCCTCAAGTTAACTAAGAAAAGCCTATTCAATCTGTAATTTTTTTGCTTTTTTCCTTTTCTACCCAACAATTTCTTTGTATCTCCCCATTTTCTCAGACGTCCCTTCTGTGCTCGTAATCTTACCACTCCAGCCTCTTCCTATGACCTTCTCTATCTACCCAGGAGACAAACTAAGCCCCTCATTTTCTGTTTCTCCTGAAAGTGCCCTATTTGTAAATCTGCTTAATTTTTTTAGCTTAAAAAATGAATAAGCCAGACCTTCTTAATTGTCTAGCTTCAGTCCCAGTTTTCTTATTCTTCCCTTTTAAAAAACCCTTTTGTCTAATTTTTTGCCTTTCATTTCCTCCTTAACTCTATTCCACTTAGCCTTCTGTATGAACTTTTTGAAAATTACCTAAACAAAACCACCAACCTCTTCTAGGCCATCGTCTGCTCGAGTACCCACTTTCCATCAAAACTCATTTCTTGTCTTTTCTTCCCTTCTAATTCTTGTGTATTGTTCCTGTTGATGCAGTTTTTTCCTCTTGTGGCCCTTTTCTCCCACTCACTACATTATGTGAGCTTCTGCTTCCTTAGGCTACTTAGAAAAAGCAGTTAAAAGTTCATAGAAACTTACTGATGTTTGAATTTTTCTTGATTTATTAAAAGAAAGGAAAATGGATTTTTAATAAACATGTTTATGACATTAATAAGGTTTAACTTTTAATATTCAGGCCGGTGCTGTAAAGGATTACATTAAGATGATGCTTCAGAACGATTCACTTAAATTTCTGGTTTTCGCTCACCATTTGATCATGCTCCAAGCTTGCACAGAAGCAGTCATAGAAAACAAGGTATGTTAGCATCTGTCTATAAAATACTTTTAGGATGCAGATTTTTAATGTGCTAAACATCAGTTGTCTTATAATTGAGTTTTTTGCCTGCTTTACATGGTGGTATATAAATTATTATTAGATATTTGTCTTGAAAATTATACTGATGTTATATTACTATTGCATTGATGTTATCTTATTAAAGTTTGCCTTTTATACCAGTCTAATCATTTTCTACTAATCAAATGATCTGAATTGATTAAAATATGCTGCCTTAATAGCATATAATGTGAATTTTGGTTTTGTTAATGGATATGCCATTTGAAATTGGTATAGGCAGCTAAAAGTTAAATTTTTTGTTTACCCAAATAGCACCTCTGGAATGTGGGTAATGACGAGGGGAAAGGAAGAATGAATTGTGCTGATTTTTGTGCCCAGCTATAGTCATACCTTTTAAAATCCTGGTACCATATTCTATAGAATATGATTATTAAGATTTAGTGTGAATGGCCCTGCCTGTGTGGTTCAGTTGGCTGGGTGTCGTCCTGTGCACCGAAAGGTTGCTGGTTCCATTCCCAGTCAGGGCACATGCCCGGGTTGTAGGCTTGATCCCCAGTAGGGGGTGTGCAGGAGGCAGCTGATTGTTGTTTCTCACATCGATGCTTCTATCTCTCCCTCTCCCTTCCTCTCTGTCTAAAAATCAATTAAAAAAATGTTAAAAAAAAAAAAAAAGATTTAGTGTAAGTGAATTTATAACATATGGCCCAGGTGATCTATCAGGTTAGCTCCAACAAGCCTGCTGGCCTTACTGCATGAATTTCTTAGGTTCACCTTGTTTCCCAACAGTACTGTCAGTGACAACATCTTCCACTTTTTCTTTCAAAGTTTAAACCTGTCGTCCTTCTTTATGTGCAAGGGCTTCTAGAGAAGCGCAGAAGCAGCCAGATAAATGTCCTGACAAACTGTGTGAACTTGATATATGTGTAACAGCAGAACCTCTTGCCTGTGTAGGTAGATTTTTTTTTTTTTTTTAATGGAGGAGTAAAGCCATATTTTTGATTACTTTGTACAGTGTAGATTTTTCAAGCACTAGCTAATAGGTATATTAACATTACCAAAAAAGTAATACCAGTGTTTCCTTTGTTGGAAGATTTATGATAATATAACAGAGTGCTGTACACTGAAAGGTATTTTCTCATTGATTACCTTATAGTGTGTGTAAAACACCTTCTGAGGAAGAGTTAACCATAGAAATCATTTTTTAAATAATTGAGCAATAATATTAGATTCATAATATTTTCTTATTCTGATTCCATTGTACCTTAAAATACTGGAATCTATTCCAAGAATAGCAGTCTATCTCCTTTTGTCACATTTGCTGTACTGATGAATTTAGAATCCCATTTACATCACTGAGAGTTAAAGATGTAGGGAGTCATGGTGTTGGGGGCGAATTTCTCTAACACCCCTGAGTCTAACAATGTGTTTTCTTTAGAAAGACCCTCAGAAGATTTTATAATCTCCTTAATGGATAGTAAATGGATCACTGGTCAATTTATATCTGTTTTGTGAAAATGGAGAAAGTTAATAAGGGACTTTCTATTTACTGATTAACTTGACTGTCCTCTTACATAAGTGACTATTTCTGTCTCAACTCTGTAAAACTGTGCTTTCTATAAAAGTGCACGTATAAATGAGATTATTTGAAATTCAGGGCTTATACTTATTTTACAAAGTTGAGTAATAAGTTCTTTTCAGCTGTTCTAACACATACCGATTGCTCCTTTTTCTCAACTCAAATCATCCTTAAAAGACAGCACTGTTCAGTTAGGCACTTATTGTTTCCCTGCTTTTTAAGTATGGATGGATGTCTTGGTCTCTACCCCAATGGAGATGACCATAACACATTTTTTTTAAGTTTAATACTGTGGAAAAAAGAAAACTCAAATGGTACATTTAAAGAGATATTTTCCCAGTTAATGAGATATTTCAGAAGTAGACGCACTATTCTCTATGAATTTCTAACACATGGACAGAATCCTCTTTTCCTTTCTTGCATGCCTGATCTTACTTTTACTTTGGAGTTAGTGCTCCTATAACTTGGAAGTTATTCTGATACATCGTTCAATTACAAATGATCAGTATACATAGAACTTTACTGAGGCAATATTAGCTTAATTCACAGTCATGATTTATGGAACTCCTATTATGTACGAGGCATTGCGCTTGGTAATGATGGTATGAAGATGAATTGGACATAACTCCTACCCTCAAGTAGCTTAAAAGATAAAAAAATATAAAGTTGTTAGGCCCTGACTGGTGTGGCTCAGTTGGTTAGAGGATTGTCCCATACACCAAAAGGTGGCTGGTTCAATTCCTGGTCAGGGCACAAACCTAGGTGGTGGGTTCAGTCCCTGTGTGGGAGACAACCAATTGATGTTTCTCTCTCACATCAGTGTTTCTCTGTCTCTCTCTCTCTCTCTTCCTTCTTCTCTCTAAAAATGAATAAAATTTTTTTTAAAAAAACCTTGCAAACATCTTAAATAAAACTCAAATAATAAAAAATAAAAAATTGTTATCTGAAGCTATAAAGAAATTTGGTTAAGATTTTTCTTGTATAACATTTACTAACCTGTCAACCAGTTTCTATTTTATTATGTGAACATAAGAATAAGCTGGAAAGTATATAAAATAAGATGGGTACATAGGGCTTGTCCTAATTTTGCCGTTTCCTTTGTTAATGCTAGACTCGTTACGTTAGGATAGATGGAAGTGTTCCATCTTCAGAAAGAATACATCTGGTAAACCAGTTTCAGAAGGACCCTGAGACTCGCGTTGCTATCCTGAGCATTCAGGCTGCTGGTCAGGTAAGAAATTCAGGTCTCCACTTGATAATAAAATGCCTTTGAAATAATAAAAAGGCCATTAATCATAATGATAACTTTATATCTGATATCTGGTATAATCAATATTCATTCTATTTTGGAGAATGCTAGAAAGTATAATAGGAGACCTCAACACCTTTGGCTGAAATCTTCCTAAATTTTTAAGGAAAGAATTTTCTAGAAGAAGATAGTTCATTTGATTGTAATACTTTTTCGGGACCGTTTTTCCTTTGAACATGCCTGGGCTTTCCCCATCCCTCTCTTACAGCACTTCTCTTATGTGGTCCTTTTCCTCGGTCTGTGAGCAAGGTGGCCTGAGGAGTAAGAGCCCTTCTGCCTGAGGGCTTCTCGTAGAGTGCCCCTCGCCTGTCCCTCACAGTTACATTTGGCTGCGAGGAAATGAAAACCCAAGTTAAGAAAGACTTAAATACATAAAGCTCTATTCTCACGTAGGCAGTTCGAGGCTAGCACAGTGGTTCCACAAAGCCCTTAGACTTCGGCTCCCCTGGCCTTCTGCCGCACTGCCCCCGGGGGGCCTCTCTTTTCTGGGGCAGCTGCTGCCGAGGGGCTGCTCCCTCTCGCTGCCCGCAGGTAGTCCTGTGGCCACAGCTCCTGCAGGGCAAGCTGGGAAATGGAGCCTTTATTCCAGGCAGTTATGCTAACCCAGGTTTCTCATTACAAAGGAATAAGAGTAGGAAATGGGGAAGGCAGTAACAGTCCCTGCCACACTATGGAATGGGATCCTTCCGGACTGTTTTTTCTACTAATATTCTTAAATATTTTGATGTAAATGACTAAGCCAGGATATTTAGCATAGGGAAAAGTAATTGAGCATATTGCTGTGTGTCCAACCTGGTATACGCTATGCCATATCTGGCGTCTTCCGTGGACTTGAATCTGAACCAGAGCGAAGATCTGCTTTTACCCAGAGAATTGATGTATGCATATAAAATTGTATATACGGAGAAGCTCCATGAGGATTTACACATACACACATACAATTTTGCATGGTTCTAGAACTCACTAGGAATTCTAACCAGAAGGAGGGTTGTCTCAAACTTCTAGTAATCTGAGTTTTATATCTGCTAGAATATTCCAGACATATAAAATATCATCAAAAAGAGCTTAAAATTAGAAATGGAGTATTCACAGTCTGGGAGGAGAAATGTAGGAGGAAGCCAGGCAGGAGAGTTCAGGAGTGGCCTGATGAAAGACTGAAATTAAGATTGCGCAGGGCACTCACATTTTATTCAGGGCTGTGTTCCTAAAGACCTGTGTAATTCAGAACTCATATACTTGAACACTAGGATCTTCACAGGAATAAAGGAAAGTAGAAAGAGCTTTGTTCTTGGGGTGTGTGAATCTCCCATTGTAGTTTAGTAGTGTCTTAGAGAGATGTTGGTCTTGCCAGCGTATTTCCTGTCCTAAATAGCAGCACAGTTTAGCCTGGTGGTGGTTTGGCTCTCTCCATGTTTTTATTACTTCTAACTTCTCTTCCACAGTGATTGATGTTCAGTGAATTTTTCAGCTTGAGAACTAGTGCCACCACTTAATGAATGCTAGCATGAGGTGGTTATGTGATATAAAAATAGTTTAAGTTAACATATCAAAATAACAGCACTGCAGTCACAAAAGTTACTCACCCCAAGTTCCAGTGCGTGTGAGCAGCGTGGAAAGGACAACACTCTCAAGGAGGGCGGGTGTTTCTGTCGACCCCCGGTGCATGCCGACAGCGCAAGCGTGGTTCACCTTTCACTCCGCATACCTGCCAGCTTTAACATCAGGCATTTTCTTTTACTCTTTTTTAGTTTGAGGAGATTGCTTATTTCCTATTTTGTTTATAAAACAAGACAGTGAATAGTTTTAATGTTGCACTATTTCAAACAGCATGACTGGAGACGTGATTTTCTTGCTTTATAGAACAGCAGTGTGAATTAAGTGAACAGAGGATATCATTGCTCTCTGCCTAGTTGCTGTGGATACCATGTGTTAGAAATGACATTCTCATTTATAATGTGCCTTCTTAGAGTTTCCAGTGGCACTGTGAGTCCAGCCTTCATCAGAGGGTAAAGCGGTTCTGTATATGGACCTGTCACACCAACTTGAAATACTGAAATACACTTTGCATGTTTTGTGGTTCACCGGCTGTCTTGCAGTAAGCAGTCTTCATCTGCCTTTCATGAATTAAGTTTTCTTAATTTGGCTTAGTGTGAAAGACTGATCTGTCTTTAAGGCCCTCGGTGTTCTCTTGTCCACTTACCGTGTTCAGAAAGACTGTTACGCGTGGCTCTATGTTATATTCTCAGTTTATTTGCATCTCAGGTTCTTCGCTTTATTTTGCTAAGGGCTTGACATTTACTGCTGCAACTCATGTGGTATTTGCTGAGTTGTACTGGGACCCTGGGCATATAAAGCAAGCCGAAGACCGTGCTCACCGAATTGGACAGTGCAGTTCTGTGAACATTCACTACCTCGTTGCAAATGGGACGCTCGACACCCTCATGTGGGGAATGTTGAATCGCAAGGTAAGGCGTGAATCTGAGCCAGGTTAGCAACTTCCTCCTTATTAACCGTAGCCTTCATGAGTTGAGAGGCTGAGTTGTAGTGTTTTCGGGCAGAGGATACTTGAGTACACCAAGATGCTGATGATGGAAAAGGCTTCAGTTGGTGGTGCCGCACCTGCTGTCCTCCGTGATGAGAGACAGGCGTGAATTTACCCGTGTTCCTGCTGTCTCTCAGGCCCTCTTCTACCACTTTGGGGGGGGGGGTATTAGCCAGCAAGGAGCCACAGTGCTTTCAAGCACCAAGTCTTCTCCGTAAGTAAAGAATGAATTCTTTTCAGAAGGATTCTTGGATTCACAGCTAATATTGGATAGAGGACACCCTGCACCCAGACTCTAGAAAAGGTGGGAGGGACGTTGCTTGCTCTGTCCCCTGAGCTGCCTCTTCTCCCAGCCTTGAGGGATGTTTACAGACAGGATTTGACTAAGGATTAGAAGACAGTTTTCAAGCACTGAGTATAGATATTCAAAGTGGCCAGTCATTTGTAGGTTCAATTTCAAAGTTTATAAATATTAGAATAAAAGTTTTTATGAGAAAAGCACATGGGATCATTTGTCTAGTTAGACCTTTTCCTCATATCATTGAGTTGGCAATTTGGTTTTAATTTTGAATAATTATATTACTGCAGCCCATGATATGTTGAAACAATAGAACTTTCTTGAATGGACTGCTTATTACTCAAATGCGAAATCCAGCTATTGCTTAGCAAATACCAGCGGTGCGGTGAACATTATAGAGTTCATGTGCTTTTCCGTCCCACAGGCTCAGGTCACTGGGAGCACCCTGAACGGGAGGAAGGAGCGGCTTCAGGCTGAGGAAGCAGATAGGGAGAAGTGGGACTTCCTGCAGTTCGCCAAGGCCTGGGCTCCAAATGAGAGCTCGGAGGAGCTCAGGAATGACATCTTGTTCACTCATGTAAGAAAATTATGACTTATTCTTTTCTGTTGTTTTAATATCCTGAAACTATAACTTTATTGTATATTGTTTTAAATAGCAATCTTCAATTATTCATGCTATTGAAAGCAGCCTCCACATAAAGCTGAAAAACCTCTTAGAACCAAAAGATAACGGATGGGAGGAGGCTACGGCCCTGGCTTACATTTTCCAACAGTTCATATCAGTGCCTTACTGCTCAGCTCCTTAGAAAAATAAGCCAAGTAGAATCCAACTTCAGAAGAAAATATAGGAGGCTATCTTTATGACCCTGAGGGTAGGGAGAGATGTACTAAATTTGCCACAAAGTGTAACATAAACAAGTTACAGACCCAGTAAAGATATTTTCATTACAGTATCTAAAGTATATAAAGAATTTATACAATTTAATTAGTAAAGCGCAAAGAAGCCAACAGAAAAACAGGCACAAAATGTGAGCATCAGGGAAGATCTAAATAGTCAATAAATATGAAAAGAAGTTCGGCCTCACTAAAATAGTGATTTTTCTAATTCCATCATTGCTTCTATATTTATTACTTGGCATTTTTCTGTAAAGAGGAACTTCTCAGTAAAAAAAATTTTGCTAAACTTGGAAATTCTATTACTGTTATTTAATGTGTTATAATCCTTCACTTTTTAAAAAATATTTGACTAGTGAAAGCTTCTTTAAAAAAAAAAGTTTCTATAATTCTCTGAATGCTTTATGCTTTCTGACAAACAATATATTCCAGAGTCACCATGTATTTTCCTTGCCCCAGATCTGGAACTGGACATTTCTTTAAGGAGCCCTGACTCCCTTTACTGGCAAATGATATTTAGAAATTAGGATTTTTTACTGCTCTGAGAAGTTGTTGCTTCTGGAATATTTTCAACATACAGAGCTATTTATACACAAATACACAGTTTTGCATGGATGGGTAAACATGCATGTATGTATGTGTATGTCTATATATATGTCTGCATTATTAAGTCATAAGTTCATACAAATGCCTTCAGTTCAAATCCAGCGCCACCAAGTTCTTCTTCACCTTCTCCATATATCTGTAGAAATAGAAATATCTGTATTTACCTTCCAACAGCGGGGAACTCTGGTTCCTGATATCATCAACATATTTACTCATTTGTTCTTTCCTTCCACACATGTAAATACTTTTGAAATGACTACTCTAATACCACTACCAACAGCTAAGCAAAAGTCAAGATTTCTTAGAAGTTTTAAATATGCTCTACTAAAGGCATATAGTTATGGTATTCTGTCCAAAAGTTACTTAAATTGTTTTTTTTCTATGTGGGTATCTTATCAATTTGATAGGCATTTAGGTTCATTCGTTTCTGTGTGTATTTCATTGTAGGATTTACATTTTTTTGAATATTTAAAACTCAAAAGTCAAAACTATATAAAGTACATTCAGAGAAGTCTGACTTTCATTCCTATTTTTGTTTCTATTTGTACTCTATAAGTAGCCATTTTTACTAGTTTCTGGCTTAATTTTTCTTAGATTTTCTTTTCTGTAAAAATGAACAACTGCTTGTGTGTGTGTGTGTGTGTGTTTCAGTAAAATAAATTAAAACAAAATGAGGTGCTACTTCATACCCCTGGATTGGCAACAATGAAAACATTTGACATATTAAAATTTCAGGAACATTTCATATACTAAACTCTCATACACTGCTTGGTGGGAGTATAATTTATTGTAACTACTTGGAAGAGCAATTTGGTAATACCTGGTAAAGCTGGATATGCCCTTCAACCAAACAATTCCATTGGTAGAAATATATTCTCACACATGTGTATAAGGATACCCGTACAAGGATGTTTATTGAATCATTTTTTGTAATGCAAAAACTTGCAAAAAACCAAAATGCTCATCAGTAGGATAATGGCTATATACATTTTCATAAGATATTACTTAGAAATGATTTAGATACTAAATAAATGATTTAGATTTATATGTATCAAATGACCAGATTTTGAATGGTGGGTATATGGATGTTTATGATATTCTCTATACAGTAGTAAGTGCTGTTTGGAGGCCATGAATAAACCAGATAAAAAATAATATATTAGGGAAGCTTAGAGTCATTCGGTCTGTCTGCTTTTTTTCGCCCTTTTAGGGGAGTTACGGGGAGCTTAATTTTAATTTTTGAAAGGATCAGAAATTGTAGGAATAAAATTAAAGTCTATACCTGTTTCTTCAAAATGTAAAATTAAAATTTTAATATAAAGTTTAGTTGCATAAAAACATAATACTTTTTGTCGAATCTTACTACATTTTTTTATGTATCTTATTTGCAGGGCTAGTACTTTTTTTCTAGGATACTAGACTGCCATTCTGTCAAATATTGCTAAAAAATAGGATTATTTCTAAGAATTTTTTAACTTAAAAAACTCCTTTTAATAATGTTTATTACATTATACTTTGGTCAATTAAAAATTAGGAATTCTGCCCGGCCAGGCGTGGCTCAGTGGTAGAGCATCGACCTAGGATCCAGGCGATCAGGGTTCGATTCCCAGTCAGGGCACATGCCCGGGTTGCGGGCTGGGCAGCCGATCAATGGCTCTCTCATCATTGATGTTTCTATCTCTCTCTCTCCCCCTCCTTTCCTCTCTCTGAAATCAATAAAGATATATTCAAAAAAAAAAAAAAATTAGGAATTCTAAGTATTTAAAAAATATATAACTCAAACTATAAAAATATAACTATGATTTGTAGTAGTTCTTTTTCAAAAATTTCCAAACTATTGCACTGTGTTTCAAAGTGCATTTCTATGACAAATATTAAGAATTTGAAATTTGCCCTGTCCAGTTTGGCTCAGTGGCTAGAGTGTCAGCCTGCAGACTGAAGGGTCCTGGGTTCAGTTTTGGCCAAGGGCATGCACCTCCGTTGCAGGCTCCATCCCTAGCCTGGTCAGGGTGTGAGTGGGAGGCAACCAATTGATGTGTCTCTCACATCGGTGTTTCTCTCTCTCTCTCCCCCTTCCACTCTCCCTGAAAAGCAATGGAAAAAATATCCTCTAGTGAGGATTAAAAAAAGAATATTTTGAAATTTGAAATACATTTTCCCACATGTTTATTGTTTTCATGTGTATCTGAAGAAGAATATCTATCTTCGTATGAAGTTGAAGATGTCACCCAGTCACCCTGACCAAAGCTTGCTTTCCTGAGTCGGGTACTTGTCTTTCGTAGTTTACTGTTACCTTGCACAGGTTTTCCAGCACATGGCTTTATGCACACATGGTTTTATAGAGAGTTCTTCCCTCTTATCCGCAGTTTTGCTTTCCACTGCTTCAGTTACCCGTGGTCAAGAGTGATCCAAAAACATTAAATGGAAAATTCTAAACATAAACAATTCATAAGTGTTAAATTGTGCCACCATTCTACATTGTGCCACCATTTCCTCATTGCATGAGGAAACCTCCCGACATCCAGCTCCATTCCACCCATGACCATATTCATCCCTTTGTCCAGCATCTCTGCTCTGTATATGCTCCCCGCCCCTTCGTCACTTAGCAGCCACCTGGATTGTCACAGCAGCTGTTCTAGTGTCGTAGTGCTTGTGTTCAAGTCACCCTTATTTACTTAATAATGGCCCCAAGCACAAGAGTAGTGATCCTGGTGATTCAGATATGCCAAAGAGGAGCCAGAATGGGCTTCCTTTGAGTGAAATGTTTGTATAGGAAAAACATATTGTATTTAGGGTTTGGTGTTATCCTTGGTCTCAGGCATCCGCTGGAGGTCTTGGAACATATCCTCATGGATAAGGGAGGGCGAGTGAAAATCGGAATCTTATAACACGAATTCCATTTGTTCTGCTTTGTATTTGTTTTTTGGCCAGCATGTGAAATGTGTTTTGAATGACTTTAGATGGGAATGGCACACACCACTTTCTCTCTTTATATGTTTTTATTGATTTCAGAGAGAGGAAAGGAGAGGGAAGGAGGGATAGAAACATCAATGATGAGACTCATTGATCGGCTGCCCCCTACTGGGCATCAAGCCCACAACCCAGGCATGTGCCCTGACCAGGGATTGGACAGTGACCGCCTGGTTCATGGGTCGATGCTCAACTGCTGAGCCACATGGGCCAGGCCCACTTTCACTTTGCATCCTCCAGTTTCATGCATTTTTAAGAAATGTTCAATTTGTTGAAAGGTCCTAAAAAATTTTAGCCTACTGACAAACATTTTTTTTCTGAATGTTGCCAAAATCAGCATTTCCTATGGGAATTTTTCTATTTATACTGATTTCTCTCTGATCCCTTTTTATATCCTTTAAAAATTTTTCCCTACATTTGGCATTTTAGGCTATTTCTAATTTTGTTAATTAAACTTTGCCAAATTAACTAAATTTGCCAATTGTCATAAAGACTTGTTTAACTGAAAAGTTTATAACAGTTCTCACTGGATGGCTTTGAACAGCTTGTGACTGTTGCTATAGTGTCAGCATTTTAGGGAGTGTTCATTTTATCTCTGTGCCAGTGCTCCGCGGCTGCAGCTGGAGGGTAGAGCCGGGGCAGAGAACAGGCACCTTCCACTGGGGAAGAACAGGCTGCACATGTCAGTCAGCGTGACAGCTCAGGCCTCAGCCCCGTGGGGGGGAGAGTGAGCCTGAAGGGCAAAGAGCAGATAAACTGGGGCAGGAGGAGAGTCAGGAGGCTCAAGTGCCCTGGACCCCATAGTCTTAACCCTGCCAACCCATCACATTCAAAATACTGCGACGACTATGAATGATTTTTAGGAAACTAGTACATTTGGTCAGTTTGATAAATTGGCCTTCAGTGAATTGGTCTAGAGCCTAATTTTAGTATGATTATGGACCCGGAGGGCAGGGAGACATGGTTAGGAAGAAGAGGAGGAAAAGGAGAGAAAGCTTTTGTGGATAAAATCTTTCACTAGTTTTGGTATTTCCTACCTCCTCTCTCCGAGACCTGGTGCTCACTGCCCTTCAGAAAGGCGTTATCTGTATCACCCTCCTCTCCTAC